CTTAGTGAAATTTGACAGGTCAGGCTTTTGAAGTTTGAATTGGTTCACTTCTTGAATTTCAACAGATTGTATTAGGGCAGTGGCTTCCTGATTCAGGACTTAGAGAAATTTTCTGTGCTTGCAAGCTGGGAAGTCTAGCTTCATGCCTACATAATTTGTGTAATGCAGCAGCACTGCCAATAATTAATTTTATTAGAAATTTTAACTTAGTAATAACATCATAAGAACATGAGAAGAAAGTGGAAAAAAAGAGAAAACCATTTGGGGGGGGGAAGAAAACACCCACCCTCTCCTCAAGCCTCACTAATTAAATTAATTGTTTATTATGAGTCATTTAACTTCTCAGTGGTTACGAAAATATCCATGTTACCTTTCCAAAAGAACATTCCCCTTCTTTTCTAAGTTGCTTTGAGTTGCATTTGGCAAATATAAGAACTTTACAAAATCAGTTTGGCAAAATCTGTTTTGCAGATGTGGAATCCACCATTTAAAAAGTTAAATTTAAACATGTGTATGTGGAGCCTTTGTCGTGGACGTTTTCATTGAAAAGGAATTTATGAAATAGAAATTAAAAATGTTTATGTGACTGTGCTTATCATTCAATATATTAAAACTTGATGTAATGAACAAACTGATATATGGTGGAGGGATTGTATATAAAAATCCCTATATATTGTTTTTAATAAAGAACAAACTTTCATTAAACAGTTTGTTTTCAGGTGGGAAAAAAGCCTCATCCAGGAAATGTTTTTCTTTTGTTTTCATTGGAGTTAAAAAATATCTTGGTTTTGCCTATCAATAGATAAATGTTAGTAGTAAACTTCTGCTAAAATGATGCAACATAAAGTATAAAACAGTGTTATGGTTTCATCCCACACTACTTTAGGCCTGAGGAATTACTCTTAGTAAGATGGAGATTTTGACCAAACTGTGCATCCTGGAAATAATCTGATTGGTGCAGGGGTAAACTTTTCTACTTGTTTCAACACATACAACATCTAACCTAGATGCAGAGAGGTTAGGAAGTGAAAATGGAACTTTTGTAATGCAATCTTGGTTGTTTTTTTGTTATGTTTGAGGAGGAGAAAGAAGCATTCTGGAAAAAAAACAGAGGCATAGTTCCAAACTGTGCTTTGAGTTGCCTGTTATACTATATGGTGACTGAGTGTCAGTAGCAAGAAAGGGAGAGAGTATACAGAAGCAGTCTTAGAGTGCTTTTGCCATATTGCCAGTTTAAAGACAATATTTCCTGAAGGTAAATTATTTGTGTTTCTATGCTTCTTTTCCTCTTTATTGCCTATCCTTCTGGCTAGAATGAGAGGGTTACATATTAATCATAGTGTCATAGAATGGTTTGGATTGGAAGAGAATTTAAAGATCATCTAATTCCAATCTCTCCCCACCACCCACTAAGGGCAGGGATGCTGCCCACTAGATCAGGTTGCTCAGAGCGTTGTCCAACCTGGCCTTGAACATTTCCATGGTTGGGGCATCCACAGCTCCTTTGCACAAGCTGTGCCAATGCCTTACCGCCCTCAGAGTAAAGAATTTATTCATAACTTCTAACCTGAATCTCTCCTCTTTTAGTTCAAAACTGTTCCCACTTGGTTCTGTCACTATCTGCTCATGTGAAAAGTTGCTCTCTGTCTTTTTTATAAGGCTCCTTTCAGTACTGGAAGGTGCTATAAGGTCACTCTGGAGCCTTGTCTTCTCCCATCTCAACAACCTGAATACTCTCCGCCTGTCCTCATAAGAGAGGTGCTTCAGCCCCTGATCATCTTTGTTGCCACCTCTGCACTCACTCTGACAGGTCCATGTCCTTCTTATGTCAGGGACCCCAGAGCTGGATGCAGCACTACAGGTTGGGTCTTATGAGAGCGGTGTAGCCATCCCCTCCCTCAACCTGATGGCCACATCATTCTTCTCATATATTGCAGGATACTGTTGGCTTTCTGGGTTGCAAATGCACATTGCTGGGTCATGCCCAGCTTCTCATTCACGGAAACCCCCAAGTCCTTCTCCACAGGGCTGTTCTTCTCCCAGTCCATATTCATGTCTGGGATTGCCCGGACCCAGATGCAAGACCTTGCACTTAGACCTGTTGAACTTCATGAGGTTCATGTAGGCCCACTTCTCAGGTTTGTCCATGACCCTCTGGACAGCAGAAGTGTTAAGTGTTGTGAGGGAAAGGGCCCAGAAAAAGATTTCATGTAAGTTGCAAATGTAAACAGTAGACAAGGGAAAGCATCAAAGTGCCGGCTGAAAGAAGATATTGACGGGGCACGGAGGGGAAAAGGAGAATGTCAGAACAAATTAGCCCGTGTCATACTCAGACTATGTGATGAAGGTATCTCCCTGAGGTCCTTCGGTGGTATCTGTTTCTAGTCCATCACTGGTCTGAAAGAAAATACAAAACATACATAGTTTATAGATGACTCCTGATGTTTTGATTGGTGGTGATTCAGTCGGAAAGCATGCTAAGCTGAAACTTTGTCCATGGTATGAGATGTGTTTGCAATATGATGTCCATTTTTAAATAAAAATAGGAAATATTTCCATAAAGAATAATCACACTTGAAACATCTGATGTGAAAGAAGACATTAAAGAGCTTGGTCTTAGCTCAAGAGTTACTGGCTCTCTGGGAACAACTGACTAATTTGTAAGTAATATGTAGATGTTTTCTTATAAAATACTTATTTCAGTAGAAAACTTTTCTCAATAGATCGAGTAGCAGCAAGGCAACAATACACACACGTGCAGCGTAGGGACATTAAGAAGACATTGAGGGAGTACTAAACATGTGCTATAGGTTCTGTGTGCATTTTGACAGGGCATGTAACTCATATGTGCGGGAATGTGGCCAACTGTCTGCAGCAGAAGAAGCAGCTCCTGAAACTTGGATTTTTCATCTGACCTGCTGATAGTACAGTTGATTTAGGGCTCATATTTGTTTTAATGTGTCTTTTAAGGGATAAGAGTATACTAGTTTTTCTTTCTTCACGGTGGAACAGTAAAATGATAAGATTTGAATATGCTCTACAGTATTGCAAAACAGTTGAGGTTTCAACAGGACATTGAGCCCTGAAAAGAGGAACCTGAAGGCTTTAAAAAAAAAAGTCTTTCTGTGCCAGCGGAAATGAGGACTTAGGATGGTAAACAGTCAAGAGATGGTTTTGGAATGGCATGTGAGATGCTTGTAAGGCATCTGAGACAAAAGACAAGGGTAGGCAGACCTTAAAGTTCCGTGTGCATAACCACGTTACTAAGTGCACCATCTGAGAAAGGATATGCCAAGGCAGTCCTTGGAAATTTGCACTGTAAGAGAAGACATAGTTTTTCAGTAGGAGATGGTCATCACAAAAGGAAGAAGATAAGCTGAAGGTATGGGATTTTCAAATGAGATTTTGAAAGGATTTGAATATTGTGAGGGAAAGGGAATGGAAAAAGACCCAAGTTTTGAGCAGATTTTACAGTGGCAGAAAGTGACAGTGTGCCTGTTGAGAGGTAGAAAACTGAGATAGATGTTGACAACACATGGAGAGGAAAAAGCAAATTTTAAAAACACATACTGGTTGAGGATGGAGACAACCTCTGAAGATCCTCTAACCAACCTAATTGTAATAGTAATCTAATATTTAATTTAAAATAAAAATTTTAAAAAACCAAACAAAACCTCAAACCCAAACCAATCATCAGAACACTTGAATGTCTTATTCTAGAGCTCCAAATAGAGCAATGAAGTGATGCCTTACACATATGGGTTTTGAAGACTTTTAAAAATTAAACTAACCTTGACTTTCTTACGGGCAACTGGTGATTCATTCGCGTTCTAAGTTACACTTCTTGATTTCTCATTACTGTTATTAAATATGCAATTAAATATAACTTCTGTAAGCTATCCAGCTCATTTTCCTGTCTGTTTTATTCTAGAATTATATATATGTCCGCTCTGTGGCCTGTCTGGTCTTATAGCTCTGATGGAAGTTTCTGATGTTATTGCCGTGGTGTCTTGTCTCATTCTGGAGAGATGACTGCCTTTGTTAAAGTTCTATTTGCTTTGCTAGAGACCAGTGAATTATGTGCTGTTGGATCATAGGCAATGTTTGTATAGTCTAAACAAATGAGGTTGTCTTGAGAACTTTGAGATTTTTTTTCTTTCTAAATAAATGATCTTCCTTCTTTTGCCAAATCCTGAAACTCTTTTCTGCATTAGATGCCAGAAGAGTTTTGAATTTTTATCTGGAAAGACCTCAACATATTAAATGGACAGAAAACATTTGTATCTAAGACAGTTTAAAGGGTCCACCTGTATCTCAGTGTTTTAGTTCTCTCTCGTTTGGATGTTTTTGTGTATCTAAGGAACAGTGAAGATTCAGGCAGATACTCTTTTTCCATTAAAATGAGAACGGATGTATTTATTTTGCTAACAGTGTGAGAAAAACTCAGCTTGAAAAAACAATATTACACATATGAATCTTCGTAAAGTATTTGAAGAACACTTTTCTAATAGAACTGTAAGAAGTTCAGGATTAATTGAAGAGAACTACAATAATATTGCAATTAATGTTTAAAATACCTTCTAAAAATCAAGTGTGAAGAATAACTAGACAGTTAAAAGCAGGATTTTCATTTGTTGTCATGTCAGAATAATTAAGAAAATCTGTTTAGTTAATGAACTAGTGTAATTCATGTATAAGAGATGGTATTCGTGCCTCTTTCCTGAAGTATCTGCTCTTTGTGAAGGACTGAATACTTTCATCTTCTTGATTTCCAGTGACAGTGAAGACTCTTTAATTTTTTTATTATTTTTTTTAGCCTTCACATGTTAGTGAATATACTGTTGTCATCATGTTTTAAGTGCTGTTTTGCCATTAGATCATAATTTGAGCAATATTATATGCCAAGTATGCTGGAAAAGGGGTTTGATTATATCACAGAACGAATTATTTCATATGTATCAACTTCATCTAAAACAACTTTATTTAAACTCTTTTTCCAGAACTGTGAGGACATGGGATGTTAACAATGAAAAAAAGCACAAAAGCGTATTTAAGCCACGATCAGTTCAAGGTAAACGGGTGATTCCTACAACTTGCACATACAGCAGAGATGGTAAACTTATCGCAGCTGGCTGTCAAGATGGCTCTATCCAGATCTGGGACAGGAATATGAGTGTAAGTCAAGTATTTGATAGCAATATATGCTTCTAATGTATGAAGTGCTGGATGTTGAAACTGATAAAATCAATTTTGGTGCATTTATTTTATATCCTCTCCTCTCTTCTCCCCTCTGCCTTGAAAACTAAATAACTTGAAGTCATAACATAATATTTCTTCTGCCTTTCTACAGTCATTCAGTACTCTGCCATTCAGTTCAAAACACTGAGAAAACTCGTGGCAGTCTGGGTAAAAGAAAGCAAAGGTTGTCCACATACCTATATTTAGAATATTGTTCATTTAGGATGCAATGCTTGTGAGAAGAGCTGTAATTTCTTGTTGGTTGTTATATACTTACCCCACTTCAGTGGGGTAAGTACCAATGGCATGCTCAGGAGGAGAAAATGAGAATAGAGTCAATTTTTTTATAAGACAAAGTAAGATCACAGAGGAAATGGGGTGGGAAGGCCAGGATCCTTTGAATCAAACTGACATCAGAAATCTTTGAAAGCTGTACAATTCCAGTAGGATGACTTCGGGAAAATCATACTGAACTAGTACAGGTTATGTTAGTCTGTTCCACTTCTTTAAAACATTTTATTTTAAAAAGAAAAATAGAAAATTCAGGGAGCTTT